CGCCAGGCGATCAAATCCCACAGAAAGAAAGCCTATTTGGGGGAAAAAAGAGGAAAAATTTCATTTGGGTGCAGCTTTGCATGACTGCACAATTGTCTTTAAAATTTAAAACACAGCCCCATATCCCAAAACAGGGCCTTTTCAGGAAGGGGGGGGGGGGCCCTTTGGGAGGCAAGGGGTTAAAAGTGGTTTGAAAAGGCTCAATGTTTTTTAAATTAATATATAAATTAAAAAACGATTGTGTACAGCGCCCCCTTTTCCCCTACCCCCCCCTCTTCCAAAATGGACCCAAAACCCATGCTGTTGTGTGTAAAGGTCCCCCAAAACACAGCTCAGGAGGGGCCCTGCTCGAGTTCCCTATGCAAGCTGCTTGCTTGGGGCACCCGTAGGGGGAGGGGCCGAAGCCCTGGTGGGGGACCCGGAAGAGAGGACGGGGGCTGTTGTGTGTAAAACCAATGCACAGAGCAGGTAAGTATACACATTTTTTTTTTTTAATCTGCCTTTAATACATTTTAAGGAACCCCAAAAAGATTGGGGGGGGGTCCAGTCAGCAAAGCCCAACCAACACACGCCAGGGGTAGAAACTGTGGGGTCTTTTAGTGCATATAAATACCCAAAAGAATTTTGGGAGAAGAGTGAATTCCTAAGATATGGGGGGTCCCATTTACTAACACCCCCCATAATTAAAATATCCATTTTAGGTGGATCCCCTTTTAAAGCAGATTTATACAGAATCTCCTCTTTCCAGTATATTGGCACTTCTTATACAGCAGCACGACAATAAGAGGCAATATGCCAATCTGAGTCCAGACATATTGGCAGGAAAGGTTTCATGCAACTTAAAGGTTTGTTACAAGTTCCACACACTTTAGGGTCACAAATTTCCCCCCCCCCCCTTAACTGTGGACAGCGGGCCAGGGATCTTCTCTCAGCGCCCGCTGTCACAATTTGAAAAGAATGCAGCCGTTGTGGTCAGAATGTAAATGAATGAACTACAAGTATCAAACAGTCTTTGCGTCTGACGGCTTGCAGTTCTTGAACTACCAGGGTGCTAGTGAGTGCTCTAGGCAATTCATTGAGTCTTCCTGTCATCATGTAACTGCCTGTCCATATGAGGAACGAGCAGACAGAAACAATGACAGCCTGCAGGAGCCTGTGATTGCACCAGCGATCTGCTGATCACGGGGTGCAATGTTTTACATGCACCAAAACAAATAAATAAATGAATGAATGCACATTTTTTTTTACCTGCAAAAAAATTGCATGGGAAAACTTGGGTTTCATCCTACCCTCCCCCCTCCCCTTTACTGGTCAGCCACATAAAAATGCCAAAAGCAAGGCTGAGAATACAACAGCTCCAGTAAGGATGGCGAGTTGCACATCACATCAGCTGCCTCCATCTCTGGCATGCAGGTTTAACTCAAAGTTAAAGGATAAGTTAACCTTTGGGAACATGCAACATGTTCCCGGGGCCCGCTCTGCTGCATCTAGTCACAGCGAGCAGATCTTTCCCTGATAGCTGTTGCTATTTTTTTTTTTTTATATGCAACCGTGTGGGGCTCCTCCTTCTCGGTCGCATCATTCATTTACAGATTTCAGTGAATGGAAAACTACAAGTCAGGATAGCCTTTGCGGCTGTTGGCTTGTAGTTCTCAATGAAACTACCACGGAGCTGTTGAGCACTGTGGTAGTTCTTTGTCTCTTCCTGTCTGTCAGTGTGTATCATCTTGCCTGTATGAGGTAGGAGCACACAGATACACTGACAGGTCTACAGGAGTCCTGCATGGCACCTGTATCTGCTAATCGTGGGTGCAATGCTTTCTAGGCTCCAAGTAAAAAAAAATAAATAATAAATGCACATTTTTTTATCTGCAAAACAGAGTTAAAGAATAAGTTCACTTTTTTTAAAAAAAAAAAGCTCATCTATTTATGTGTTTTTTCCTGATAACCGATCTGCTCATTTCAACTTGCCCAGTGAAGCCACCCTGCCATAAAGAGAGGTGACTAGTAAATTTAGTTCTGCCAGGTTGATCAATAGTCTTTTACTTGGCTCTCCCCTAAACTCAGTGTTGCTGTTCCTGGTGTTACTAGGAATCACTGGCACTTAGGGGCAATAAACAAGGGAGCTGCAGCAATACTAGGTTATAGATATTTATGTCAGTCTTGGTAAACCACAAGGAAAATCCTCAAGCTGCCTTGCCAGGTCAAGGAGCATACAGTACCCAAGCTGGAGAGCCAGGAAAAGAAGTCCTGTTGGAGGAAGATTGGAGTCTGCCCTCAGAGAGTGTGATGAAGTTTTTGAACCCATGTTGCTGGAGGTATCTGAATCCCTAATCCTCTCTCCCTTATGAGCCAGAGCAGAATACTAGAAAATACTAAAGTGCTAGGTGCCCTTCATCACTGTAACTCTCCACTGCGGCCCATGGATCCACCCTGGGGTAATATCAGCCCACCTCTGTGCTGGAGGTTTTTCCTTTTCTAGCCAGGGGGAGTCACTACACCAATTCAGGATGATCAATAACAGTTTTTTAGATCAGGGGTATTGAATTAAAATTCAAGAAGTCCGGTCACTAAAATTTTCTTCTGGCCGAGGTCCAAATAGAGTGTGCCCATCAGTGCACCCCCTTACACTAAGTGTCGCCATCAGAGTGCAACTTTACATCATGTATGCCCATCACATCAGGTGTGCCCATCAGAGTGCCCCCTTTACAACAGGTTTCCCCATCACAGTGCCACCTTACATCAGTTATTCCCGTCAGAGTGCCCCCTTTCACTCAGAGTACCCCTTTAAATCATATTCCCCATCAGAGTGCCCCTTTCCACAGTATGTGCCCGTCAGAGTGCCCCCTTAACATAACACATGGGCTCGTCAGAGTGCCCCTTAACATAAAATAAGGGGCACTCTGATGGGCACCTTTATAGTAAGGGGCACTCTGATGGGCACATTTATAGTAAGGGGAACTCTGATGGGCACATTTATAGTAAGGGGCACTCTGATGGGCACATTTTATATTAAAGGGAACTCTGATGGGCACGTTATGTTAAAGGGCACTCTGATGGGCACATTTATATTAAGGGGCACTCTGATGGGCACGTTATGTTAAAGGGCACTCTGATGGGCACATTTATATTAAGGTGCACTCTGATGAGCACATTTATGTTAAGGGCACTCTGATGGGCACATTCTATGTTGTGTCCATCACAGTGCACGTTAACTTTAAATGTGCCCATCAGCATGGTTCTAACATTAAAAATGTGCCCATCAGAGTGCCCCTGTAAGACTACACCCTACCTTAAGGGCAGACAGGAGCTGTGTCAGGATCCTTGCTGAAGAATGCTTGTGTACAGGCAGGAGAGGGAGCCGGAGAGACAGTGAGCTGCAAGGGGCGGGGCGCACACACGTGATGTCATGTTGCTGTGAGGACCGCCCTGCTCAGCGGCAGATCTGTCATTGCAGGCTGGCGGTCCAGAAGGGAGCATTTTGGGGCCGTTCTCGGACTGTGGTCCGACATTTAGTGACCGCTGGTTTAGATACTGAGCAAGTCTATTGTCGCTAACACGAATAGCATTTTGTTTGTTCACCACAAACTAGAAGAAAACTACAGCAGCCAGTGGGAAAGGTCTAAATTTAATAAAATTAAACACTGCACACAGAAATCATGACTACGTACATGAAGGTGCACAGAGCAGCAATGCAGGATGGATGGATGGAATGAGTCTGTTGGCGACTTTTACTGCAGTGATCAGGAGGGAAGGAGGATGGGGATTCTGAGGTCACGGGGCTTCATCCCACTGGTCACAGCATTCATGGTTCCCAGGTAGTGACATGGGGTCTTGCTCTCCATCTGTTGGAAAAGAGAAGAAGAATGAACAAATTGAACTGACTGCAGGAGGACATGACACAAAAAAGAAGAGGATTGGAGCGGTTTGCCTTAAAAAAAAAGTACAACCTTACATCACTTTAAATTTATCCTGTATGTTGATTAAAAAAAGAGAAAATCAATGTTTCCTGTAATCCCTCACCCTTTCCCAACAATTCCCCCCCTTCAACAAGCACCAGCATGACTTCACAAACACCACTCCTTCAGGGCTTTACTTTCACTTTTCCAACTGAACAGATTGGCTGAGGAGCAAAAACCAGGAAAAGTATTTGCATCTGTGGAGGTTGGCATTATGGTGAACCTGTCGCTTTATCCTGAATGTGCAGATTAATTTAACCTTCATGCGTTTACTTTGCAAGGAAGAATGAAGGTTGAATTTTATCAAAGAGAACCTGTCACCCAAACACCATGGAGAGACCCATCCTGTGCGCGGACCCAATACACAGCTTATTAGTATAAAATTATGGATGTACTACAAGCCACAATGTTAATGCTGCTCCCTGGGCAATTCACAGGCTGTATTTTATTAAATATTAGACCATCCTAAAAGCGTGGTCTTCCACGGGCTAGGAAATGCACAGTTATGAATAGGGACCCATCCATCTTTCAAAACAGCTCTTAAATTTACCCATATATTAGAAACAATGTGAAACCCCCCGGAAAAGCAACTGGCTGGAAAAAGACATTTGATATACCGTATTTTTTGCTCCATAAGATGCATTACCCCCCCCCCCCAAAAAAAAAAAAAATGGGGAAAAATGTCTGTGCATCTTATGGAGCGAATATGGAGCAGCCGGTCTGGTATTCCCGCTGCCGCCGTGTCAGAATACCTGGCTGGCCACTCGCCTCTTCTCTGTAGCAGAGCCCTTACCTGTTCCTTGGTCCAGAGCTCTACAGTCTTCTCTCCCAGCGCCGGCATCTTTAGTGTGGGCACCTGGCTGTGACAGCCGGGTGCCCACTGCGCATGCATGAGAAGTGTTGCGCTCTGTGAATGGTCCGGCAGTCTTCTGGGACCTGTCAGTGTCCCAGAAGATGGGGAGGGAGGACAACTCAGTGCAAGTGGGAGCGGGTACCTGCTACCCCTCCCTCCCCAAAGGTCCGTACTGTGTCCGCAGTCTTTGCTCATCCCCTGTACTGTGTCCGCAGTCTCTGCTCATCCCCTTTACTGTGTCCGCAGTCTCTGGTTATCTCCTGTACTGTGTCCGCAGTCTCTGCTCATCCCCTGTACTGTGTCAGCAGTCTCTGCTCATCCCCTGTACTGTGTCAGCAGTCTCTGCTCATCCCCTGTACTGTGTCAGCAGTCTCTGCTCATCCCCTGTACTGTGACCGCAGCAGTCTCTGCTCATCCCCTGTACTGTGACCGAAGTCTCTGCTCATCCCCTGTACTGTGACCGCAGTCTCTGGTCATCCCCTGTACTGTGACCGCAGTCTCTGCTCATCCCCTGTACTGTGACCGCAGTCTCTGGTCATCCCCTGTACTGTGTCCGCAGTCTCTGGTCATCTCCTGTAGCATGGCCGCAGTCTCTGGTCATCTCCTGTAGCATGGCCGCAGTCTCTGGTCATCTCCTGTAGCATGGCCGCAGTCTCTGGTCATCTCCTGTACTGTGTCCGCAGTCTCTGGTCATCTCCTGTACTGTGTCCGCAATCTCTGGTCATCTCCTGTACTGTGTCCGCAGTCTCTGGTCATCTCCTGTACTGTGTCCGCAGTCTCTGGTCATCTCCTGTACTGTGTCCGCAGTCTCTGGTCATCTACTGTACTATGTACGCAGTCTCTGGTCATCTCCTGTACTATGTCCGCAGTCCCTGGTCATCTCCTGTAGTATGTCCGCAGTCTCTGGTCATCTCCTGTAGTATGTCTGCAGTCCATTAGTTCAAAATATTTTTTTTTTCTTGTTTTCCTCCTCTGAAACCTAGGGTGCATCTTATGGAGCAAAAAATACGGTATATCCACCTGTGTCTGTCTGGGTCTCTTCCCTGCCGAGTAACCACCCAGCTTATCACTGACCATTCCTGCAAACTTCCAGGAATCTAAAAAAAAAAAAAAAAAAAAAAAACACTTATTAGCCTAAAAAGTTGTATAACTATATGCACCCCCAACCCTGATGTGTGCCAACAATCAGAATGGCCTTCAATACTGGTTTGTGACCATACAGAAAACAATTATCTAGGGCAGGGTCTCCCAACTTACTAAACAAAGGGCCAGTTTATGGTCTTTGGGGGGCAGATTAAGGCCAGTGGGAGTATATAATAATGCCACATGTTTGGTTGTCAGTGGGAGTAAAAAAAAATATGTAGGCCCCCTGTGGTTAGGAGGAGGAGGAATAGTGCCCCATCATTGTATTGGTGGGAGAAATAATGCCTCCATAGCTGGTGTCAGTGAAAGGAATAGTCCATCACTGATGGGAGGAATAATACCTCATTGTTGGTCAGAGGGAGGAATACACCCTGTTCCAAATTATTATGCAAATTCTATTTAAATGTCACAAAGATTAAATATTTTGTTTTTCAGTTTAACTCATGGATGGCATTGTGTGTCAGGGCTCTTTTGATCACTGAAAACAATCTCGGACACCTGTGATAATTAGATTGGCAGGTGAGCCCAATTTAAGTAAAAAACTACTGAAGGAGGGCGTTCCACATTATTAAGCAGAGCACCATTTTCAAGCAATATGGGGAAGAAAAAGGATCTCTCTGCTGCCAAAAAGAGTGAAATAGTTCAATGCCTTGGACGAGGTATGAAAACATTAGATATTTCACGAAAACTTAAGCGTGATCATCGCACTATTAAGAGATTTGTGGCTGATTCAGAGCACAGACGGGTTGGTGCAGATAAAGGCACATTGAGGAAGATTTCTGCCAGATCCATGCATCGGATCAAGAGAGCAGCTGCTAAAATACCATTACATAGCAGCAAACAGATATTTGAAGCTGCTGGTGCCTCTGGGGTCCCACGGACATCAAGGTGTAGAGTCCTCCAGAGTCTTGCAACTGTGCATAAACCTTCTATTCGGCCACCACTAACCAATGCTCACAAGCAGAAACGGCTGCATTGGGCAGAAAAATACATGAAGACTAATTTTCAAACAGTCCTGTTCACTGATGAGTGCCGTGCAACCCTGGATGGTCCAAAATGGATGGAGTAGTGGATGGTTGCTGGACGGCCACCCTGTTCCAATAAGGCTGCGATCAGCAAGGCAGTGGTGGAGTAATGTTTTGGGCCGGAATCATGGGAACAGAGCTGGTCGGTGCCTTTAGGGTCCCCAAAGGTGTAAAAATGACCTCTGCAAAGTATGTGGAGTTTATGACTGACCACTTTCTTCCCTGGTACAGAAGGAAGAACTATGCTTTCCGTAATAAAATCATCTTCATGCATGACAATGCACCATCTCATGCTGCAAAGAATACCTCTGCATCAATGGCTGCTATGGGGATAAAAGGAGAGAAAGTCATGGTGTGGCCTCCATCCTCCCCTGACCTCAATCCTATTGAGAACCTTTGGAGCATCCTCAAGCAAAAGATCTAGGAGGGTGGGAGGCAGTTTACATCCAAACAGTAGCTCTGGGAGGCTATTCTGACATCTTGCAAACAAATTCAAGCAGAAACTGTCCAAAATCTCACAAGTTCAATGGATGCAAGACTTGTGAAGCTGCTATCAAATAAAGGGTCCCATGTTAAAATGTAACGTGACCTGTTAAAATGTTTAAAAAGTTAAAAAGTTGTTAAAAGTTTGATTGAAATAGCTTTTGATTTCAGTAAATATGCTGCAAACACAAACAAATGACAATTTTCAGTTCTTTACAACCTATAAAGTGTTTTGAAACTTACTGTGCGTAATAATTTGGAACAGTGCATTGGAAGTGTTTTATGTTTCAAAAAAATACTGTTATCATTAGGAGGTTTGTTAAATCAAATTTGAATTGTACTCTTAATAGTTGATAACATGAGAATTATGCCGACTGTTATTTACATCAATTATTTAGGTAAATGAGAAAAATATAATTTGCATAATAATTTGGAACAGGGTGTAGAGTCCCAAGGGCTAGATAAAGGCAAGTAAAGGGCTGGATCTGGCCCTCGAGCAGCAGTTTGGAGACCACTGGTCTAGGGAGTAGTGATGGACGAATTGGAAAGCTCTTAAATGTGCTCAACAATTCACAGGATAATGCCCAACTGACTGTAGGTTGGGAGATCAGGGCACACTCACTCAACATCATAAAGCAACTGGAAATGACAGGATTCTCCCAATTAAGTCTTCTTAAATGTAACCCATTGGAATTCTGCACCACAATCCTTTTGCAGGGTTTTAACACTGAAACACTGACAATCCCTGTTATTTCCCCACCCTCCCCAATAACTGGCCCTACAGCCACTGCTTATTTTTAGTCAGGAGCAAAATAGAAGTATCATCGCCCATGCCATGTATGAATGCGAATTCACCCTGCACTGCAATATGGTAAATGTCTGCAAGCAATATCCATCTGTACTATCGCCCATGCCATGTATGAATGCGAATTCACCCTGCACTGCTATATGGTAAATGTCTGCAAGCAATATCCATCTGTACTATCGCCCATGCCATGTATGAATGCGAATTCACCCTGCACTGCTATATGGTAATCTATACTGCTTTTAAAATCCACCTCTAACTGAAGCCGATTCATGGCTATCAATGTTCTTGGTAATTCTTACTGCTTCCAAATCTTTACGGCTACGTTCACACTAGCTTTGTCAGCAGGCGTCAGACAGGCGTTTGGGAGTGTTTTTTTAACGTTTCTCAAACCTATGAATATTCTGCACATGGCAGCACACAGTGCTGTTCACACTGAAGCGTTGCGTCGCCGCAAAACTGACGCCTCATGTTGAGTCAGGAGGAGTTGAAACCTCCCATTCAAGTCTATGGTGACGCTCCTCAAACGCCTGGGCGTTTGTGGAGCATTAATACCATTAAACTTCATTATAGGTGTTTGTGGTGCGGTTTTAATGCTTGGTAAATGCCTCAAAAACGCTTCCCAAATGCCTGTCAAACACTATAGGAGCGTTTGGCAAGAGTTAGAGATAAGTCAAGTGTGAACGAGCTCTAACTCTGTCCATATTACTGTGGTGTTTATTTTGCTCTTATTGTCTTACCCAAATTTATGAGTTGATCCTAATCTTTACAACTCTGCCCTCCTGCAGTCTTTTTGTCCTCCTTTGGTGTGAGAAATTTGCCCTGCTAGCCATGTGTCTCTCCTATGCATTCCTCATTGATTAATTGGCAATACCCCCACCCAACTCAGTAAAAATTTAGACCTTCCTTAGGGGAGGCACAGCCAGAGGCAGCACAGCCATGGGTAGCATTGGCAACTATCATCTTGGATTAAGTATTGAGCATTGCACTTTGGCTCTGCACTTCAGCAAAACCACAGCAGACGACTTCAAATACTAAACAGACTACAGGTGACCTGTTTCCTCTTCCACTCTTTCATCTCTTACCCAGTCTGCTTCTTCATCTCACCACTCTGTAACATGCACTCCCTACTCCTCCTTCTCACAGTTGTATCCTCTCTCTTCAAACTCTCTCTCCTACACCCCTCTTCTCCACCCCACAACTCATATATATCACCCTCACTCCTACCTTCACCTTATTACTGTACTCATCAACTCCTGCTAATTCTGAACTCACATCCTAATAAAACCTCCAGGACACTGGGACCTGTCCCTCCATATAAGTCACACTCCCATATTACCTCTCTCACCCTTCTGCATCTCCTAACATCTGGGAGACATTTCCCAAATCCTGGGCCACCATCTTTCTCATTTGACCAACACACCTTATCCTCGAACTGCGGCCGCAATCCACACAATCTGGTTACTATTCCTCTTCTTTCTAGAACCAGCCTCCCCTTTTCCTGTGCCCTTTGGAATGTCTGCTCTGTCTGTAACAAACTCACTTCTGTCCATGACCTTTGAATCACTAACTCCTTTAACCTATTCTACTCACTCTAATGGGAACTGCCTCGACCTTGTATTCTCCTACCTATGCACTCTTTGCAACCTCACCAACTTTTTTCCGATCTCTGATCACTCCGTTATTAGCCTCACTCTCTCCTTGGCTGCCAACTACCAGTTAACGGTAGAAACCTTCGTTATCTTACCCCTTCTCTTCTTTTTTTCGGCAACAGATTGTCTCTATGACAAAATCTCAGCCCTGTCCTGTCCCAACCTGGCCACTTCTGTCTACAACAGTTCACTGTCATCCACTGTGGACACATTGCCCCCCCTCACTACACACAGACCTAGGCCCCAACTGCTACAGTTAGTAAAAAAATAAATTTTAGAGGTTCAAATATAAATTGCTGTATCACCCAATATATGGCTTCCATCCAGTAGCCAAAAAAACATGCAGACCAAAAAGGGATTTGTGAAAAGAGATTCACAGAAAAGCGGCTACATTATGAACAGAATGCGATACTCAGAAAAATTTCCAAAAATTATGCTTTATTACACATTAATGATTGACACATGGGCAATCGCCCTGGTTTACCATCACCCCAGTAGCAATTCTATTAGTCTTGAAGGAGATAAAAAATTACCGCAAACTCACCAGAAGATGGCGATATTAATAAGGAAATCCCTAGATATGGCTATTTAACCAAAGATATCTAAAGATCACAATAATAATTACCACAAAACCACCAGAAGATGGCGATGTTAATTAGAAAATCCCTATATAGGGTTATTTCACCAAAGATACCTAAAAATCACGATGACCATTTATTAACATACAGCTATTCTCAATAGAAAGGAGGCTAATTAGCTCAATAGCTGATCTTTTATCGCATTTAAAATTCAAATTTAAACCAACAAACAGTTGAACACCTCCACAGAGAGAAAGGCTTATCATGTTACTTAAACATGTTATTTTAACATTAATGGAGATAGAGAATTACCACAGGTTCACCATGAAATGGCAATATTAAATAAAAAATCCGTGTAAAGCTATTTATCCAGAAATACCTGGAAATACCTTAGACTTGAGGACAAGAGACTCCTTACAAAAACGTTTAGAAAACCAACTGCAGCTAATACCTTATTAGAGGCCAGAAGTTATCATCCACGTTCACTGATTTCAGGAATCCCGGTAGGACAGTTCCTGATATGTCGGAGAAACTGTTCAAATATTAATGATTTTAGGATGGAAGCGCAGGACCTCTATAAAAGGTTTAGAGAACAGGGATATTCTCACTCTCAAATTAGAAAAGCTCGGAGACGGGCATATCAAACTGACCAGAAGAGTCTATTGTCCCTAAAAAAAGATGAGAAGGTTAAATTAAGTGAGCAACCTGTTAGAATGATAACTCAATTTGGAGCTCAATGGAAGGCTGTGAAACAAATATTAGAAAAGCATTGGAAGATTTTAACCCAATGCCCCAAATTGAGTAAAATTGTAGGTGAGCGCCCCAAATGGTAGCAAGAAGAGCACCAAATCTTGGTGACCTCTTTATTCAAACCGTTATCAACCGACTATCAACCATTAAAACAAACAACATGGTTGAAATCACATATTAAAATACACAGCAAAAATCCCAATATAATATCCCAGAAAAAAAAAAGGGTTTCACCCTTCTGAAAAAGTCATAGGAAGTGACGTCAGACGTATCGACGCTGACCACACTTCCTATGACTTTTTCAGAAGGGTTTCACCCTTCTGAAAAAGTCATAGGAAGTGACGAAACGCGTCAGTACACGTGACGTCGGACGTATCGACGCTGACCGGAAGTGCGATCGCGGCCATCTTGGAAGTGGGAACATTTGGCCAATGTTTCCCTAAACTTGTCTACACCTGTATCCCTTTGAGGAGGAGCTGCTTCACCCAAATTTTAATGTAAGTTGTTAAATAATGGAAGATATTGTTTGATCTACCATTTGTAACTGTGGATTTTCTCATGAGGGAAATGGAGGAATAACCCTAACATTGGAAGAAACCTGAATGATGAGATGTTAACCCAGAGTGGAGTTATGCCCTGTCATTTCTTATATAGGGTAATTATCCGTCAGCACATGAGTTGGAGAGTGCTGGTTTGGGTTTAAGGTGCACACTGATGTATACAGAGTGCAGTGATACACATTTTGCAGTGATAATTTTGAGTTTGTTCTCACCTATTGTGTAGCTGACACTTTGTGTGACTGTCTTTCACTTATATTTTTATTTATATTTATATATTTATTTTAGGTACACAATAGATCATTTGCATGTATATAGATACTCGCTTATAGAGTATACACATTTATATAGATTTTGCATGTTGCACAGTGAGTGGCACGTGTGTTTTAATTATTTAAAAGGTATGACACTATGTCGAGTTTTTTTCTTTTGAGGTGTATTGTCATCAGGATTTGCGGGTGTTGAGAAGGAAATTTTGATGAAAGAAGAAGGAGTACAATGGTCTATATTTGTGGGGACTATTTTTGACATTTTGGACACTTTTTTGTATTGTTGGATATGTTGATATATTTATTTTGATTTTTATATTTTTTTCTGTGAGAAAGAAAAGTTTTATAATTTTGCATGGTTGAAATCACGTACTAAAGGGATGTATAAATGTGGAAAATGTCAGATCTGTAAATTTGTGGATCGTACAGATTCTTTCTGTGATTCAAAAAATAGCACTCACTATAAAATTCAAAGTCTCATAAATTGTTCTACAGTAAGAGTATTATATATACTGACTTGTCCCTGTAAAAAGATGTATATTGGTAAGACTAAAAGACAACTTAAAGTACGAATAGGTGAACACTTTAGAGACATCAGATCCAATGATCCTGAGAGTAATCTAGCTCAACACTATGCTAAGCATCATGAAGGTAAATTGGATGGTACAAAAGTGAAAGGTTTCTATGCATTACATTTTCCCCAAAGGAGAGGTGATTTTGACAAAGAATTATTAAGAAAGGAAAAATATTGGATATATAAACTTGATACACTGTACCCAAAGGGGTTAAATGTAGAGTGTGATCTCCAGGTATTTCTGGATAAATAGCTTTACACGGATTTTTTATTTAATATTGCCATTTCATGGTGAACCTGTGGTAATTCTCTATCTCCATTAATGTTAAAATAACATGTTTAAGTAACATGATAAGCCTTTCTCTCTGTGGAGGTGTTCAACTGTTTGTTGGTTTAAATTTGAATTTAAATTTAAATGCGATAAAAGATCAGCTATTGAGCTAATTAGCCTCCTTTCTATTGAGAATAGCTGTATGTTAAAAAATGGTCATCGTGATTTTTAGGTATCTTTGGTGAAATAACCCTATATAGGGATTTTCTAATTAACATCACCATCTTCTGGTGGTTTTGTGGTAATTATTATTGTGATCTTTAGATATCTTTGGTTAAATAGCCATATCTAGGGATTTCGTTATTAATATCGCCATCTTCTGGTGAGTTTGCGGTAATTTTTTTATCTCCTTCAATACTAATAGAATTGCTAAGCCTTTCCTCTCTTTGATATATCCAGTAGCCTGTCCTTTTAAATTTAAGTAATGACCAGCTGCTGTGCTAAGTAATTAGCCCTTTTTTCCCATTGAGAATAGCTGCACGTTAACAATTTGCATGAGTGGGTGGGTTTAAACCCACTATAAATAGGAAGCTGAAATGCAGGAGTCTCATTGGTCCTGACGAAGCTGAGTGAGATACGCCCATCGGCGAAACGCGTTGACGTCATACGTCAGATACGTCACTTCCGGTCATGCGCACTGGCGATATGCACGCCGACCTACAAGGAGGCAGCCATTTTCACATGAGTCATGCAAAAGCTGTACAGGCGTCATGGAGAGGTTGGAACCATCAAGACAACAACAGGGACTCTTTCATCTATAAGAATCCTTGCAACTATTCACGTATATTACAGATAAATGGGCCCCAACCACTTGTGCCTTTATAGGGTTGTACTGTATGAATCCATTACTATATTATTGGGGTCATATCCCCCTTTTCATTCAATGTTTTACCCACATTTCCTTATATAGGCTTAGGGTTATGCCTCTCTCCAGATGGTAACTGTATCTGTCTTTTTTGCTTGCATGTGATATTATATACCCATGGTACAATTTTTGGTAAAATCTCCTTCAGGAAGTGTAACCCATATGGTAACAATATGTGCTTATATATATGGCATGTGATATTACATACCTATGGTATAATTTTTTGTATATACCTCCTATGGGAAGTGTAACCAATGTGCAAGTGCTGCAAATGCTTTAGACTATGGTGGTCATAGCCTTTGCAGCACATATATCTAGACCGGTTTTGGTTTGATTTTAATGGTTTTAGGTCTGTGTGTATTGTTTCATACTGGGGTGATGGTAAACCAGGGCGATTGCCCATGTGTCAATCATTAATGTGTAATAAAGCATAATTTTTGGAAATTTTTTCTGAGTATCGCATTCTGTTCATAATGTAGCCGCTTTTCTGTGAATCTCTTTTCACAAATCCCTTTTTGGTCTGCATGTTTTTTTGGCTACTGGATGGAAGCCATATATTGGATGATACAGCAATTTATATTTGAACCTCTAAAATTTATTTTTTTACTAACTGTAGCGGTTGGGGCCTAGGTCTGTGTGTAGTGAGGGGGGCAATGTGTCCACAGTGGATGACAGTGAACTGTTGTAGACAGAAGTGGCCAGGTTGGGACAGGACAGGGCTGAGATTTTGTCATAGAGACAATCTGTTGCCGAAAAAAAGAAGAGAAGGGGTAAGATAACGAAGGTTTCTACCGTTAACTGGTAGTTGGCAGCCAAGGAGAGAGTGAGGCTAATAACGGAGTGATCAGAGATCGGAAAAAAGTTGGTGAGGTTGCAAAGAGTGCATAGGTAGGAGAATACAAGGTCGAGGCAGTTCCCATTAGAGTGAGTAGAAGCATGTGTCCATTGTTTTAGTCAATAGAAGTGGTTAGGCTCAGAAGTTTAGAGGTAGCAGAGTGTTAACATAAGCGAGTTAGTGATTCAAAGGTCATGGACAGAAGTGAGTTTGTTACAGACAGAGCAGACATTCCAAAGGGCACAGGAAAAGGGGAGGCTGGTTCTAGAAAGAAGAGGAATAGTAACCAGATTGTGTGGATTGCGGCCGCAGTTCGAGGATAAGGTGTGTTGGTCAAATGAGAAAGATGGTGGCCCAGGATTTGGGAAATGTCTCCCAGATGTTAGGAGATGCAGAAGGGTGAGAGAGGTAATATGGGAGTGTGACTTATATGGAGGGACAGGTCCCAGTGTCCTGGAGGTTTTATTAGGATGTGAGTTCAGAATTAGCAGGAGTTGATGAGTACAGTAATAAGGTGAAGGTAGGAGTGAGGGTGATATATATGAGTTGTGGGGTGGAGAAGAGGGGTGTAGGAGAGAGAGTTTGAAGAGAGAGGATACAACTGTGAGAAGGAGGAGTAGGGAGTGCATGTTACAGAGTGGTGAGATGAAGAAGCAGACTGGGTAAGAGATGAAAGAGTGGAAGAGGAAACAGGTCACCTGTAGTCTGTTTAGTATTTGAAGTCGTCTGCTGTGGTTTTGCTGAAGTGCAGAGCCAAAGTGCAATGCTCAATACTTAATCCAAGATGATAGTTGCCAATGCTACCCATGGCTGTGCTGCCTCTGGCTGTGCCTCCCCTAAGGAAGGTCTAAATTTTTACTGAGTTGGGTGGGGGTATTGCCAATTAATCAATGAGGAATGCATAGGAGAGACACATGGCTAGCAGGGCAAATTTCTCACACCAAAGGAGGACAAAAAGACTGCAGAGGGCAGAGTTGTAAAGATTAGGATCAACTCATAAATTTGGGTAAGACAATAAGAGCAAAATAAACACCACAGTAATATGGACAGAGTTAGAGCTCGTTCACACTTGACTTATCTCTAACTCTTGCCAAACGCTCCTATAGTGTTTGACAGGCATTTGGGAAGCGTTTTTGAGGCATTTACCAAGCATTAAAACCGCACCACAAACACCTATAATGAAGTTTAAATGGTATTAATGCTCCACAAACGCCCAGGCGTTTGAGGAGCGTCACCATAGACTTGAATGGGAGGTTTCAAACTCCTCCTGACTCAACATGAGGGTCAGTTTTGCGGCGACGCAACGCTTCAGTGTGAACAGCACTGTGTGCTGCCATGTGCAGAATATTCATAGGTGTTTGAGAAACGTTAAAAAAACACTTCCCAAACGCCTGTCTGACGCCTGCTGACAAAGCTAGTGTGAACGTAGCCGTAAAGATTTGGGAAGCAGTAAGAATTACCAAGAACATTGATAGCCATGAATCGGCTTCAGTTAGAGGTGGATTTTAAAAGCAGTATAGATTACCATATAGCAGTGCAGGGTGAATTCGCATTCATACATGGCATGGCGATAGTACAGATGGATATTGCTTGCAGACATTTACCATATAGCAGTGCAGGGTGATTCGCATTCATACATGGCATGGGCGATAGTACAGATGGATATTGCTTGCAGACATTTACCATATTGCAGTGCAGGGTGAATTCGCATTCATACATGGCATGGGCGATGATACTTCTATTTGCTCCTGACTAAAAATAAGCAGTGGCTGTAGGGCCAGTTATTGGGAGGGTGGGGGAAATAACAGGGATTGTCAGTGTTTCAGTGTTAAAACCCTGCAAAAGGATTGTGGTGCAGAATTCCAATGGGTTACATTTAAGAAGACTTAATTGGGAGAATCCTGTCATTTCCAGTTGCTTTATGATGTTGAGTGAGTGTGCCCTGATCTCCCAACCTACAGTCAGTTGGGCAGGTTAGAAGTCCCAGTTGTTAAGTCTTTACCTGCTCAAATATTACTTTATCCTGTGAATTGTTGAACACATTTAAGTGCTTTCCAATTCGTCCATCACTACTCCCTAGACCAGTGGTCTCCAAACTGCTGCTCGAGGGCCATATCCAGTCCTTTACTTGCCTTTATCTAGCCCTTTGGACTTCAAATTATTATGTTCCAAATTATTATGCAAATGATATTTTTGCTCATTTACCTACCTAAATAATTGATGTAAATAACAGTCGGCATAATTCTCATGTTATCAACTATTAAGAGTACAATTCAAATTTGATTGAACAAACCTCCTAATGATAACAGGATTTTTTTGAAACCTAAAACACTTACAATGCGCTGTTCCAAATTATTCCGCACAGTAAGTTTCAAAACACTTTATAGGTTGTAAAGAACTGAAAATTGTAGTTTCTTGTGTTTGCAGCATATTTACTGAAATCAAAAGCTATTTCAATCAAACTTTTAACAACATTTTAACTTTTTTAACAGGTCACGTTACATTTTAACATGGGACCCTTTATTTGATAGCAGCTTTACAAGTCTTGCATCCATTGAACTTGTGAGTTTTTGGACAGTTTCTGCTTGAATTTGTTTGCAAGATGTCAGAATAGCCTCCCAGAGCTACTGTTTGGAGATCTTTTGCTTGAGGATGCTCCAAATGTTCTCAATAGGATTGAGGTCAGGGGAGGATGGAGGCCACACCATGACTTTCTCTCCTTTTATCCCCATAGCAGCCATTGATGCAGAGGTATTCTTTGCAGCATGAGATGGTGTGCATTGTCATGCATGAAGATGATTTTATTACGGAAAGCATAGTTCTTCCTTCTGTACCATGGAAGAAAGTGGTCAGTCATAAACTCCACATACTTTGCAGAGGTCATTTTTACACCTTCGGGGACCCTAAAGGCGCCGACTAGCTCTGTTCCCATGATTCCGGCCCAAAACATGACTCCACCACCGCCTTGCTGACGTCGCAGCCTTGTTGGAACAGGGTGGCCGTCCAGCAACCATCCACTACTCCATCCATTTGGACCATCCAGGGTTGCACGGCACTCATCAGTGAACAGGACTAGTTTAATCAGTCTTCAAAATTAGTCTTCATGTATTTTTCTGCCCAATGCAGCCATTTCTGCTTGTGAGCATTGGTTAGTGGTGGCCGAATAGAAGGTTTATGCACAGTTGCAAGACTCTGGAGGACTCTACACCTTGATGTCCGTGGGACCCCAGAGGCACCAGCAGCTTCAAATATCTGTTTGCTGCTATGTAATAGTATTTTAGCAGCTGCTTTCTTGATCCGATGCATGGATCTGGCAGAAATCTTCCTCAATGTGCCTTTATCTGCACGAACCCATCTGTGCTTGAATCAGCCACAAATCTCTTAATAGTGTGATGATCACGCTTAAGTTTTCGTGAAATATCTAATGTTTTCATACCTCGTCCAAGGCATTGAACTATTTCACTCTTTTCGGCAGCAGAGAGATCCTTTTTCTTCCCCATATTGCTTGAAAATGGTGCTCTGCTTAATAATGTGGAACGCCCTCCTTCAGTAGTTTTTCATTAAATTGGGCTCACCTGCCAATCTAATTATCACAGGTGTCCGGGATTGTTTTCAGTGATCAAAAGAGCCCTGACACACAATGCCATCCATGAGTTAAACTGAAAAACAAAAATATTTAATCTTTGTGACACTTAAATAGAATTTGCATAATAATTTGGAACAGGGTGTATTCCTCCCTCTGACCAACAATGAGGTATTATTCCTCCCATCAGTGATGGACTATTCCTTTCACTGACACCAGCTATGGAGGCATTATTTCTCCCACCAATACCAATGATGGGGCACTATTCCTCCTCCTCCTAACCACAGGGGGCCTATGTATTTTTTTTTACTCCCACTGACAACCAAACATGTGGCATTATATACTCCCACTGGCCTTAATCTGCCCCCCAAAGACCATAAACTGGCCCTTTGTTTAGTAAGTTGGGAGACCCTGCCCTAGATAATTGTTTTCTGTATGGTCACAAACCAGTATTGAAGGCCATTCTGATTGTTGGCACACATCAGGGTTGGGGGTGCATATATAGTTATACAACTTTTTAGGCTAATAAGTGTTTTTTTTTTTTTTTTAGATTCCTGGAAGTTTGCAGGAATGGTCAGTGATAAGCTGGTGGTTACTCGGCAGGGAAGAGACCCAGACAGACACAGGTGGATATACCGTATTTTTTGCTCCATAAGATGCACCTAGGTTTCAGAGGAGGAAAACAAGAAAAAAAATATTTTGAACTAATGGACTGCAGACATACTACAGGAGATGACCAGAGACTGCGGACATACTACAGGAGATGACCAGAGACTGTGTACATAGTACAGAAGATGACCAGAGACTGCGTACATCGTACAGTAGATGACCAGAGACTGCGGACACAGTACAGGAGATGACCAGAGACTGCGGACACAGTACAGGAGATGACCAGAGACTGCGGACACAGTACAGGAGATGACCAGAGACTGCGGACACAGTACAGGAGATGACCAGAGACTGCGAACACCGTACAGGAGATGACCAGAGACTGTGGCCATGCTACAGGAGATGACCAGAGACTGCGGCCATGCTACAGGAGATGACCAGAGACTGCGGCCATGCTACAGGAGATGACCAGATACTGCGGCCATGCTACAGGAGATGACCAGAGACTGCGGCCATGCTACAGGAGATGACCAGAGACTGCGGACACAGTACAGGGGGGATGACCAGAGACTGCGGTCACAGTACAGGGGATGACCAGAGACTGCGGTCACAGTACAGGGGATGAGCAGAGACTGCGGTCACAGTACAGGGGATGAGCAGAGACTGCGGTCACAGTACAGGGGATGATGCGGTCACAGTACAGGAGATGAGCAGAGACTTTGGTCAGTACAGTACAGGGGATGAGCAGAGATGAGCAGAGACGGTCACAGTACAGGGGATGAGCAGAGACTGCTGAGCAGAGACACAGTACAGGGGATGAGCAGAGACTGCGGTCACAGTACAGGGGATGAGCAGAGACTGCGGACACAGTACAGGGGATGAGCAGAGACTGCGGTCACAGTACAGGGGATGAGCAGAGACTGCTGACACAGTACAGGGGATGAGCAGAGACTGCGGACCTTTGGGGAGGGAGGGGTAGCAGGTACCCACTCCCACTTGCACACTGAGTTGTGTCCTCCCTCCCCGTCTTCTGGGACACTGACAGGTCCCAGAAGACTGCTGGACCACTCACAGAGAGCAACACTTCTCATGCATGCGCAGTGGGCACCCGGCTGTCACAGCCTGGTGCCCACACTAAAGATGCCGGTGCTGCTGGGAGAGAAGACTGTAGAGCTCTGGACCGAGGAACAGGTAAGGGCTCTGCTGCAGAGAAGAGCCGAGTGGCCGGCCAGGTATTCTGACACGCGGCAGCAGGGAATACCAGACCGGCTGCTCCATATTCGCTCCATAAGATGCACAGACATTTTTCTCCATTTTTTTTTTTTGGGGGGGTAATGCATCTTATGGAGCAAAAAATACGGTATATCAAATGTCTTTTTCCAGCCAATTGCTTTTCCGGGGGGTTTCACATTGTTTCTAATAATGGGTAAATTTAAGAGCTGTTTTGAAAGATGGATGGGTCCCTATTCAACTGTGCATTTCCTAGCCCCGTGGAAGACCACGCTTTTAGGATGGTCTAATATTTAATAAAATACAGCCTGTGAATTGCCCAGGGAGCAGCATTAACATTGTGGCTTGTAGTACATCCATAATTTTTATACTAATAAGCTGTATTGGGTCTGTGCACAGGATGGGTCTCTCCATGGTGTTTGGGTGACAGGTTCTCTTTGATAAAATTCAACCTTCATTCTTCCTTGCAAAGTAAACGCATGAAGGTTAAATTAATCTGCACATTCAGGATAAAGCGACAGGTTCACCATAATGCCAACCTCCACAAATGCAAATACTTTCCTGGTTTTTGCTCCTCAGCCAATCTGTTCAGTTGAAATGAAAGTAAAGCCCCGAAGGAGTGGTGTTTGTGAAGTCATGCTGGTGCTTGTTGAAGGGGGGGAATTGTTGGGAAAGGGTGAGGGATTACAGGAAACATTGATTTTCTCTTTTTTTAATCAACATACAGGATAAATTTAAAGTGATGTAAGGTTGTACTTTTTTTTTAAGGCAAACCGCTCCAATCCTCTTCTTTTTTGTGTCATGTCCTCCTGCAGTCAATTCAATTTGTTCATTCTTCTCTTTTCCAACAGATGGAGCGCAAGACTCCATGTCACTACCTGGGAACCATGAATGCTGTGCCCAGTGGGATGAAGCTCCATGACCTCAGAATCCCCATCCTCCTTCCCTCCTGATCACTGCAGTAAAAGTCGCCAACAGACTCATTCATTCCATCCATCCATCCATCCTGCATTGCTGCTCTGTGCACCCTTCATGTACGTAGTCATGATTTCTCTGTGTGCAGTGTTTAATTTTATTAAATTTAGACCTTTCCCACTGGCTGCTGTAGTTTTTCTTCTAGTTTGTGGTGAACAAACAAAATGCTATTCGTGTTAGCTACAATAGACTTGCTCAGTATCTAAACCAGCGGTCACTAAATGGCGGACCACAGTCCGAGAACGGCCCCAAAATGCTCCCTTCTGGACCGCCAGCCTGCAATGACAGATCTGCCGCTGAGCAGGGCGGTCCTCACAGCAACATGACATCACGTGTGTGCGCCCCGCCCCTTGCAGCTCACTGTCTCTCCGGCTCCCTCTCCCTGCCTGTACACAAGCATTCTTCAGCAAGGATCCTGACACAGCTCCTGTCTGCCCTTAAGGTAGGGTGTAGTCTTACAGGGGCACTCTGATGGGCACATTTAATGTTAGAGTTAATGCTGATGGGCACTTAAGGTGCACTGTGATGGACACAACATAGAATGTGCCCATCAGAGTGCCCCTTACTATAAATGTGCCCATCAGAGTGCCCCTTAATATAAATGTGCCCATCAGAGTGCCCCTTAACATAATGTGCCCATCAGAGTGCCCCTTAATATAAATGTGCCCATCATCAGAGTTCCCTTTAATATAAATGTGCCCATCAGAGTGCCCCTTAATATAAATGTGCCCATCAGAGTGCCCCTTACTATAAATGTGCCCATCAGAGTCCCCTTATTTTATGTTAATGTGCCCTCAGAGTGCCCCTTATTTTATGTTAAGGGGGCACTCTGACGGCCCTATGTTATGTTAAGGGGGCACACTCTGACGGCCCATGTTATGTTAAGGGGGCACTCTGACGGGCACATACTGTGGAAAGGGGCACTCTGATGGGGAATATGATTTAAAGGGGTACTCTGAGTGAAAGGGGGCACTCTGACGGGAATAACTGATGTAAGGTGGCACTGTGATGGGGACACCTGTTGTAAAGGGGGCACTCTGATGGGCACACCTGATGTGATGGGAATACATGATGTAAAGTTGCACTCTGATGGCGACACTTAGTGTAAGGGGGTGCACTGATGGGCACACTCTATTTGGACCTCGGCCAGAAGAAAATTTTAGTGACCGGACTTCTTGAATTTTAATTCAATACCCCTGATCTAAAAAACTGTTATTGATCATCCTAAATTGGTGTAGTGACTCCCCCTGGCTAGAAAAGGAAAAACCTCCAGCACAGAGGTGGGGGCTGATATTACCCCAGGGTGGATCCATGGCCGCAGTGGAGAGTTACAGTGATGAAGGGCACCTAGCACTTTAGTATTTTTTATAGTATTCTGCTCTGGCTCATAAGAGAGAGAGGATTAGGGATTGAGATACCTCCAGCAACATGGGTTCAAAACGTCATCACACTCTCTGAGGGCAGACTCCAATCTTCCTCCAACAGGACTTCTTTTCCTGGCTCTCCAGCTTGGGTACTGTATGCTCCTTGACCTGGCAAGGCAGCTTGAGGATTTTCCTTGTGGTTTACCAAGACTGACATAAATATCTATAATCTAGTATTGCTGCAGCTCCCTTGTTTATTGCCCTAAGCGTCAGTGATTCCTAGTAGCAGCAGCCAGGAACACCAACACTGAGTTTAGGGGAGAGCCAAGTAAAAGACTATTGATCAACCTGGCAGAACTAAATTTACTAGTCACCTCTGTTTATGGCAGGGTGGCTACACTGGGCAAGTTGAAATGAGCAGATCGGTTATCAGGAAAAAACACATAAATATGAGCTTTTTTTTAAAAAAAAAAGTGAAATTATTCTTTAACTCTGTTTTGCAGATATAAAAAAATGTGCATTTATTATTTATTTTTTTACTTGGAGCCTAGAAAGCATTGCACCCACAATTAGCAGATACAGGTGCCATGCAGGACTCCTGTAGACCTGTCAGTGTATCTGTGTGCTCCTACCTCATACAGGCAAGATGATACACACTGACAGACAGGAAGAGACAAAGAACTACCACAGTGCTCAACAGCTCCGTGGTAGTTCATTGAGAACTACAAGCCAACAGCCGCAAAGGCTATCCTGACTTGTAGTTTTCCATTCACTGAAATCTGTAAATGAATGATGCGACCGGAGCAGGAGGAGCCCCACACATGGTTGCATTTAAAAAAAAAAAAAAAATAGTAACCGCTATCAGGGGAAAGATCTGCTCGCTGTGACTAGATGCAGCAGAGCGGGGCCCGGGAACATGTTGCATGTTCCCAAAGATTAACTTATCCTTTAACTTTGAGTTAAACCTGCATGCCAGAGATGGAGGCAGCTGATGTGATGTGCAACTCGCCATCCTTACTGGAGCTGTTGTATTCTCAGCCTTACTTTTGGCATTTTTATGTGGCTGACCAGTAAAGGGGGGGGGGGGGGGGTAGGATGAAACCCAAGTTTTCCCATGCAATTTTTTGCAGGTAAAAAAAATGTGCATTCATTCATTTATTTATTTGTTTTGGTGCATGTAAAACATTGCACCCCGTGATCAGCAGATCGCTGGTGCAATGACAGGCTCCTGCAGGTTGTCATTGTATCTGTCTGCTCATTCCTCATATGGACAGGCAGTTTACATGATTACATGATGACAGGAAGACTCAATGAATTGCCTAAAGCACTCACTAGCACCCTGGTAGTTCAAGAACTGCAAGCCGTCAGACGCAAAGACTGTTGATACTTGTAGTTCATTCATAATTTACATTCTGACCACACGGCTGCATTCTTTTCAAATTGTGACAGCGGGTGCTGAGAAGATCCCTGGCCCGCTGTCACAGGTGGGGGGGGGGGGGGGAATTTGCGACCCTAAAGTATGTGGAACTTGTAACAAACCTTTAAGTTGCATAAAACCTTTCCTGCCAATATGTCTGGACCTGATTGGCATATTGCCTCTTTATTGTATGCTCTGTATAAGAAGTGCCAATATACTGGATGTGCTATACTCAGATTTGGGCAAGAAGAGGAGATTACTGTATAAATCTGCTTTTATGGGTCAGTCCACCTAAAATGGATATTTTAATTATGGGTGGTGATTAGTAAATGGAGACCCCTCATATCTTAGGAATTCACAGTCTTCTCCGTAAAATTCTTGGCTATTATAATGCACTGAAAGAGCCTCACAGTTTCTACCACTGTGCCGTGTGTTGCTGTTGGGCTTTGCTGACTGGACCCCTGATATTAAAGGCAGATTAAGAAAAATAAATGTGTCATACTTACCTGCTCTGTGCATTGGTTTTGCACACAACAGCCCTGATCCTCTTCTTTCTCGGGTCCCCCGCCAGGGCTTCTGGCCCCTCCCTCCTGACGGGGGGCCCCCAGAGCAAGCATGGCTTGGCTCCATTTCTGGAATGAGGGGGAGCTCAGGTAAATGGGGGCTGCTGTACACAAGTCTTTTTTTAACTTCATATATTCAAGTTAAAAAACATTGAGCCTTTACAACCACTTTAACCACTTGCCCTCCAGAGGACTACCCCCCCCCCCCCTCCTGACCAGGCCCTGTTTTGGGATATGGCGCTGTGTTAATTTAACTGACAATTGTGCAGTCATGCAACGCTGCACCCAAATGAAATTTGTCCTCTTTTCCCACAAATAGAGCTTTCTTTCTGTGGTATTTGATCGCCTGTGCGTTTTTATTTTTTGGAAAAAAAAAACAATATTTTTCACGTTTTGCTTTTAAACATGTCTCCTCTTCTTCCTTCTTTCTTCTCCTTTTCTTCTTCCTTCTTTTTCTTCTTTTTCTTTTCCTCCTTCTTCTGCTTTTTCTTTTCCTCCTTCTTCTGCTTTTTCTTTTCCTCCTGCTTCTGCTTTTTCTTTTCCTCCTTCTTCTGCTTTTTCTTTTCCTCCTTCTTCTGCTTTTTCTTTTCCTCCTGCTTCTGCTTTTTCTTTTCCTCCTGCTTTTTCTTTTCCTCCCTGCTTCTGCTTTTTCTTTTCCTCCTCCTTCTTCTTCTTTTTCTTTTTTTTTCTTCCTCTTGTTCTTCTTTTCTTCCTCTTCTTCTTCTTCTTTTCTTCCTCTTCTTCTTCTGCTTTTTTTTTCTTCCTCTTCTTCTTTTTCTTTTTCTTCCTTCTACTTTTTCTTTTTCTTTTCATCCTTCCTATTTTTCTTTTCTTCCTTCTTATTCTTTTTCTTCTTTTCTTCCTTCTTCTTTTCCTCCTTCTTTTCTTTCTTCTTTTCCTCTTCTTTTCTTTCTTCTTTCTTCTTTTCTTCCTTCTTTTCCTCTTCTTTCTTCATTTCCTCTTCTTTTCTTTCTTCTTTTCCTCTTCTTTCTTCTTTTCTTTCTTCTTTTCCTCTTCTTTCTTCTTTTCTTTCTTCTTTTCCTCTTTTTTTCTTTTCTTTCTTCTTTCTTCTTTTCTTTCTTCTTTTCCTCTTCTTTCTTCTTTTCTTTCTTCTTTTCCTCTTCTTTCTTCTTTTCTTTCTTCTTTTCCTCTTCTTTCTTCTTTTCTTTCTTCTTTTCCTCTTCTTTCTTCTTTTCCTCTTCTTTCTTCTTTTCTTTCTTCTTTTCCTCTTCTTTCTTCTTTTCCTCTTCTTTCTTCTTTTCCTCTTCTTTCTTCTTTTCTTTCTTCTTTCTTCTTTTCTTTCTTTCTTTTCCTCTTCTTTCTTCTTTTCTTTCTTCTTTTCTTTCTTCTTTTCCTCTCCTTTCTTCTTTTCCTCTTCCTTTCTTCTTTTCCTCTTCTTTCTTCTTTTCCTCTTCTTTTCTTCTTCCTTTCTTCTTTTCCTATTGTTTCTCTCTTCTTTCTTCTTTTCCTCTTCTTTCTTCTTTTTTTCTTCTTTCTTCTTTTCTTTCTTCTTTCTTATTTTCTTTCTTCTTTTCCTCTTCTTTCTTCTTTTCTTTTTCTTCTTTTCCTCTACTTTCTTCTTTTCCTCTCCTTTCTTCTTTTTCTTCTTTTCCTCTCCTTTCTTCTTTTCTTTTTCTTCTTTTCCTCTCCTTTCTTCTTTTTTCTTCTTTTCCTCTTCTTTCTTCTTTTCTTTTTCTTCTTTTCCTCTTCTTTCTTTTCTTTTTCTACTTTTCCTCTTCTTTCTTCATTTCTTTTTCTTCTTTTCCTCTTCTTTCTTCATTTCTTTTTCTTTCTTTCTTTCTTTTTTTTCCTCTCCTTTCTCTTCTTCTTCTTTTTTTCGTTATGGATTCCCTCAAAGGGCTGACTGTATCTGTAAGACTAGACATCCAGGGCACCCGCCCCCCCACCCTTACATCAGATATCATGAGCCCCCCCCTCCCCCCACCATCAGAGGTCAAGGTCCCCTCTACCCTCCCTTACATCACAGTGCACCCCCCCTTATTTTCTTATTTTGTGCTGCTGCTGGGAAAAAGTGGGGGGCAAGTGTGCTGGGAAGTAGAAAGTACAGGGTCTGGAGGGGGACCAGAGGAGGGCTGGAGTCAGCTGCCAGAGTCTGTTAAATGCTGAGACCAGGGGAGGCAGAGATGAGGGGGTGCTGCGGCTGCACAGAGAGGCACAGGATCTGTAGGAGGAGTCCTGTCCTCTGTGCTGCCAACTGCTGGGACTTGGTTATGGCCCGTGGGTCTTGTGTTTGACACATGTGCCTTAAGGTATGTTAAAATATCTGTAAAGTTCCATGACCGCATGTATCGTTAATACGAAGTTACTGGACAAAGAATCGAGCAAGGCCCATTACAGTGACTGTAGCTCCTTGAAAAAGGGGAGATTTTGAAAGGTGTAATAAACAGCCCAGTAAATGGAGAATGTTGTATAGCACATTAACCACTTACCCTCTGGAAGATTTACCCCCCTTCATGACCAGAACATTTTCTTGCTATATAGCGCTGCACTACTTTAAGTGACAATTGCACTTTCATGCAATGCTGTACACAAACACAATTTATGTAATTCTTTACATGCAAATAGAGATTTCTTTTGGTGATATTTGATCACTATTGGGTTATTAATTTCCTGCACTATAAATGGAAAAAAAAATGTAAACAAAAAAACAACAATATTTTTTACTTTACATATCCCATAAAAAAGAAATAACAAAAATAAAATTTCTTCATGAATTCAGGCCAAAATGTTCTCTGTTACATGTCTTTGGTAAACAAAATCCCAGTAAGTGTATATTAATTGGTTTGCGTGAAAATGATATCATCTACTAATAGCAGTATGTTAGAGTGGGTCGTGAGGGAACTAACCGGTATGTAAATGGCTCTTTAGTGTCTAAGTGAGGACGGTGAAGGTTAAAAATCTTTAAAATTTTTACATGGCAAAGCATCTAAGAGAGAGTTGGTGAAGGTATATAGCAGGGATCGCTAAACTCTCTAAATAAAGGGCCAATTTATTGTTCTTCAGACTATAGAGGGGCCGAACTGTGGCCAGTGAGAGGAGGAAATGTTCTGGCATCAGTGAGAGTGAACAATGCCTTATTTTTGGTATTAGAGAAATAGTGCCCCATCATTGGTGTCAGTGGGAGGAATAGTGCCCCATTGTTGTCAGTGGGAGGAATAGTGCCCATCCTTGGTATCAGTGGGAGGAATAAGGCTCCATCATTGGTGTCAGAGACTGCGGACACAGTACAGGGATGACCAGAGACTGCGGACACAGTACAGGAGATGACCAGAGACTGAGGACATAGTACAGGAGATGACCAGAGACTGCGGACACAGTACAGGGATGACCAGAAACTGCGGACACAGTACAGGGATGACCAGAGACTGCGGACACAGTACAGGGATGACCAGAGACTGCGGACACAGTACAGGGATGACCAGAGACTGCGGACACAGTACAGGGATGACCAGAGACTGAGGACAGCACAGAGATGACCAGAGACTGCGGACAGCACAGGGATGACCAGAGACTGCGGACAGCACAGGGATGACCAGAGACTGCGGACAGCACAGGGATGACCAGAGACTGCGGACAGCACAGGGATGACCAGAGACTGCGGACAGCACAGGGATGACCAGAGACTGCGGACAGTACAGGGATGACCAGAGACTGTGGATAGTACAGGGGATGACTGCTGACCTTTGGGGAGGGGGGGGGAGCGGGTGCCTGAATTTGACAGATACCCGCTCCCACTTCCGCGGAGTTGTTCTTTCATCTTACCTGTTCCTCTATCCAGCCGCCGCGCGCTGTCTTCCCGGCTTCTGTAATGGTGCTCGGCATGACAGCCGGGTGCCCAGTGCGCATGAGCGAGAAGCACTTGCGCTTTGTGATTGGTCCGGCGGCTTCTGGGATCTGTCATGTGTCCCAGGTGCCGCCTTACCATTCACAAAAAGCACCGCTTCTTGCGCATGCGCACTTGGCACCCGGCTGTCATGCCCACACTACAGAAGCCGGGAAGACCGCGCCGCTGGATAGAGGAACGGGTAAGATGAAAGAACAACTCCACGGAAGTGGGAGCGGGTACCTGTCAAATTCAGGTGCCCCGCTCCCCCTCCCTCCCCAAAGGTCAGCAGTCATCTCTGTAAGGTCCCGCTGTAGAGCTGAGCGGCCGGCCCGGTATTCTGACACGGCGACAGTGGAAATACCGGACCGGCCGCTCCATATTCGCTCCATAAGACGCACTGACATTTTCCCCCCCCTTTTTTTGGGGGAAAAAGTGCGTCTTATGGAGCGAAAAAATACGGTAAGTCTTTACCTACAGACAAAGAAGCCATAGACCTGCTCCAAAGGACACAAGGTATGCTTTCCGAGGCTAACCTCAGACTACACAAGATTGCCTCGAATAGTGTCGCTGTTATGAAAGCCTTTCAACCTGGCGATCATGCCACTGGGTTTAAAGATTTAAATCTTGGGATGGACATGCCACCTGTACAGAGAAGTCTGGGCCTACGGTGGGACTTATTAAAAGATACCTTCGGCTTTCAAGTCGGCTCTGCAGACAAACCATTTACCAAGCGTGGTGTTCTGTCAGTGGTGAACAGCTTATACGATCCATTGGGATTTGTGGCTCCCATCACCATACAAGGTAAAGCCTTACTTAGACAGCTCTCAGAGTCTATTAAAGATTGGGATGCTCCGTTGCCTACAGACAAGCTTCCAAAGTGGGAGTCCTGGAAACAATCTCTACATGCCTTAGATGGAATCAGTATACCGCGTTGTTACACCTCAGCTTCCCTTGCTACAAGTCAGAGAAAAGAGCTTCACATCTTTTCAGATGCATCTACTGAGGTCATAGCAGCTGTCGCCTGCCTCAAGGTAATAGACTCTAATCAAACCCACATAGGGTTTCTGTTTGGGAAAGCTAAGTTAGCACCTAAGCCTGAGCACACAATTCCTAGGCTTGAACTTTGTGGAACTGTGCTAGCTGTAGAAATTGCCGATTTCATACTGCGCGAGTTGAACACCCAGATAGATGACACCAAATTCTACACAGACAGCAAAGTTGTTCTGGGCTACATATACAACCAGACTAAACGTTTTTATGTGTATGTCAGCAACCGTGTAGAAAGAATCAGGAAATCATCTAAACTTGAACAATGGCATTATGTCCCATCTGAAATGAATCCTGCAGATCATGCCACCAGGCCAGTGTCTGCAAGTGTCTTTGCAAATTCTTCGTGGTTAACAGGTCCTGAATTCCTGCTGGATCATCCAGAAGAAACCTCAGCTGATATCTTCAGTCTTCTAGAACCTGACAGAGATCCAGAGATTCGTCCTGAAGTCAAAACCCTTGTCACCAGAACTGAACAAAGACTCGTCTTGGGCTGTCAATGCTTTGAACGTTTTTCTAAGTGGATAAGGCTTGTACGCACCATCGCAAGGTTAGTCCATATTGCACACTGCTTTCACACAAAGCCCACCAATGTTCAATGTCAAGGTTGGCACATGTGCCAAAAGCTTCTTTCTGCAAAAGACATTGCTGAAGGTGAAATGATCATAATCCACAATGTACAACAGGATGTCTTTGGCTCAGAAATTAAATGTATCCGTGACAAGAGAGACATTCCCAAAAAACAGTTCAATTGCTAACCTGAACCCATTCATTGACAGTGATGGCATGTTAAGGGTTGGTGGACGTTTAAACAAGGCTGAGTTGGGAGATCAGGAACAGAATCCTCTCATTATACCTGCTCGCCATCATATCACCACTCTGCTCATACGGCACTACCATGAAGGGGTTAAGCACCAAGGGAAGACACTTCACAGAGGGTGCCATAAGAGCTGCAGGCCTTTGGATTATAGGAGCAAAAAGAGAGACTACAACTACACTGCACAGCTGTGTTCAGTGCCGGAAACTAAGAGGTAAACATCAGCAACAGCAAATGTCAGATTTGCCAGCCGACAGATTAAGTACTGACCCACCTTTCACTCACGTTGGTTTGGATGTCTTTGGACCATGGATGGTAACAGCCCGCAGAACTTGAGGTGGCCAAGCAAACAGCAAACGATGGGCAGTGCTGTTCACTTGTATGAGTGTGTGCGCGCAGTACACATTGAAGTCATAGTATCTATGGATGCCTCAAGTTTCATCAATGCTCTTAGACGATTTCTTGCCATCAGAGGACCAGTCAAGACACTAAGATCTGACTGTGGAACTAATTTCGTTGGAGCCTGTCGAGAGTTACAGCTTAACTCTAGGCCAATCCAAGACCTTTTAGCTGAAAAGGGCTGTACATGGATTTTCAATCCTCCTCATTCTTCCGACATGGGTGGCTCTTGGGAGAGAATGATAGGCATCACACGAAAAAATACTGGACTCTATGCTTATGGACTTGAACTCCACAAGACTTACCCATGAGATTCTAACCACCTTCCTGGCAGAAGCATCTGCCATAATCAATTCAAGACCACTTGTTCCAGTTTCTACAGATCCAGAGACCCCAACTATCCTTACCCCAGCTACTCTACTTACCCAGAAGCTTGGGTCCGTTCCTGTTCCACCTGGAAACTTTAAAGCAGGAAATCTGTGCTATGACCAGTGGAAGCGAGTACAACACCTCTCCAACCGCTTCTGGAATCGTTGGAGAATGGAGTATATTTCTACTCTGCAAGGACGCAGAAAATGGCAACGCCTGAACCCTAACATTAAAGTTGGAGATCTCGTTCTGCTGAAGGACCAGCAAGCTGAAAGAATTGAGTGGCCTATGGGACTCCTTGTAAAGAGCATTCCTAGTGATGACGGCAAGGTACGCAAGGGTGGAGGTGAAAGTTGCAAGACAAGGGACTGTAAAGACTTTCAGCAGACCTATCACGGAACTTGTTCTGCTCTTGCCCATTGGAGAATGAACTTGCTTGCGTATGCTGCTGGATCCAACCTGTGACTTCAAGAAGGAAGTGTCTTGAACTTTAATTGATACAACTTGAAGCCTTACCTTATAATTGTTGCACTATATGCATGTTCTCTTTTTTATGTCTTTCAAGTCTTCAAGACATCAAGCAAATTGCGCTGTTGTTTATTTGCAATTGTATAACTACCGTTATGGTTTAAATAGTGACATTTACAATGCCAGACGGGGGGGAGTATGCTGTTACACAGTTAATATTTATGTTAATGTACATGAGAATTCATATAGTTTATTCTTTGTACCATTTTCTATGGACATTTCTATAGTTAGTTATATGCCGCCACCAGTGGCCTTATTTGGTAATGCACTTGCTTTTTATATTACCTCCCTGAGATCTATGACACAGTTCCTTTGTATATGAAGCTCCTCCCTTCTTCTTGAGTACAGCACTTCCTGTGTCATGGAGGCAGCTAACAGTCCACATGTAACAGGACACATGTATTCTGCATAGTACGCTACAGAAAGTATCATCTTTTGACCGCATAATACTGGAAACAATTCATTCTGCTGTATCCCGTTGTCACATGTACAGAATAAAGCAACTTCTGGATGAACACAGTATTGGTGAGTTCAAGCTATCTGATAAGGATTGCCCACAGTGATTATATCTGCTTATACAGGCTAGGCATAGAGGTCTCACAAGGGATAAATCGCTATCACAACAATCTGAGTCAGAATAACTCCTCTGACTCATCTACTTGTATATGAAAATGTGAGCTTAAGCTAGTGATCTCTGTAAATAACAGTCTATTTTCAGCAAAACAGTTATGCATGAAAAACAAGTAATAGTACATTTTAATTTAGTCCTGATGATAATGAAAATATGTAAAAAAAAATACTATTAACTGACTTTAATAGAAGTGCATTACCCAAGGGGTATAGCCAAGAACTCAGAGGAACCTCATGCTGAATTACTTGAAATATATACTGATATACTGAATAATATATGAAATATATACTGATATATACTGATAATACTGAAATATAAGTAGTTATTCACCCCCAAACTGAACTATTTGTTTTGGGTGGGCTGGGTCAATAAACAGAACAAATAATTCAGGTAGTTTCATTCAATGATTACCGAGTATTCTTTAGGATGGACATGTTTGCATTAAGAGATGCCATCCTCGTTTTCAGAAGCCAATAGTGATGACCAACAGAATCATGTTTATCTGTTAAAGGTAAGATTGAGATTGAATAGTAAGGGGAAATTGCTGAAACAGCTAACAACACAAGAGCCCTCAAGTCCAAATACAAGGGCTTAGCAGTAATAATGAGCAGAAATAAAATATACAGAGTGACAATACTGGTCAGCAATGAGAGTACAAAAAACTGGCATTGGTTGTTCAGCACACTGGATCCTGGCACCCTATGTAATGCTGGCATTCAGTTTTATCTGAAGATTTGATTTATCATGTATATCATGCATGGCTGGATCTAGGGCGGGCTGGGGTTGGCTATGTCGCCCCTCCCCCAGATTTTAGTTGTGCCCCCCAAAGATAAAGCTATCCGTGAGGGGAGGAGGAGATCTGCTACCTGTGCCCAGGCTGTGTGCAGTGCAGGGATGGGAGATGGAGCTCGGCTGAATGCCTTGCCAGCAGTGACCCCCGTCCTCTGCCCTGCCAAAAGTGACTCCTGTCCTCTTCCTCAGGGGCGGACTGACCATTTGGAAACTTGGGCACTGCCCGAGGATCCATGGTCAGTAGGGGGGCCCCATGAGATTCC